AAAAAAAAAAAAAAAAAAAGCTGGGAGGGGCAATGAGGCCAACCCAAGAAAGCACTTTCTGCCAAGACTGACTGCCTGAGTTCAATCTCCAGGACCCACAGGATGGAAAGAACCAGTTCCCAAAAGTGGTCCTCTGACCTCCAGGTGAGCATCGTAGCACATACACATACACACAAAATCAATAAGCAAATTAATAAATTTTATTAATTAAATGTAATTTTAAATTTTTTTAAATCTGGCAAGTGGCAGCATGAACTGTAATCCTACCATGGAGTGGGGCCCGGGCGGGGGGGGCGGGGTAAAAGAAGGACTGTCCCTGGAGCTTGCTGGCCAGATACTATTGCCAGGATCAGTGGACTCCAGGTTCAGTGAGAGACTCTGACTCAAAAAATACCATAGAGAGTAATAGGAGGAAGAGACCCAACACCGACCTCTGGTCTCTACACAATGTGCATACAAAAATGTACATGCACATACATGCAGTATAAAGCTTGAAAGAAAGGAACAAAAAACTAATTCTTTTATCTTGAGTGCTGGCCAGTGTGCTCACTTTGTGAAATTTCATTAGGCTTTAAACTTTGATTTGTGTGCTCTCTAGTGAAAAGGTTATTGCATGCACAAACCCAAAAGAGATACATTAGATCTCTGTTGGAGGTCTGTTTAATTCTCTTTGTAGACATAGAAATTTGTCTATAATATGATATCAGTGATGGGAACACAAGCTGTAAAACTGTTTAATGTTTTCATTTTTTAGTGACATACAGCAACTGCACATATTTATGGGGCACAATGTGGCATTTCAATACACATATATAGTATGCAATGACCAGCTCAGGAGAACTGCAGATCTGTCACTTCAGGCATTGCTCATTTCTTTTCTGTTGAGAACATTCAAAATCTGTTCTATCAGCTAGTTTGAAAAAGTTAAAGGCTGGGGAAATGACTCGGTGTGTAAAGTGCTTGTGCAAGCATGAGGACCTGACTTCTGAAGCCCAACACCCACGTGAAAGCCAGGCACAGTGGCATGTGCCTGTAACCCAGTACTGGGGTGGGGGGGTCTGAAGATGAGTGGAGCCCAAGAGCTTGCTGGTCAGCCAGTCTGTCCTGAATGTCCAGCTCTAGGTTCTGTTAGAAATCCTGTCTCAAAAATCAGCACAGAGGAGGAAAAGGAAGGTATCCAGTGTCAACTGCTGGCCTCCACGTTCACCCACGTGGGTGAGCACTCACACACACACACAGTGGATAACCGAGTCAACCATAGTTACTCTATTATACTATAGAATAGAGGTCATTCCTTCTATCCAAATGCAGTTCTGTGAACTTTATGTTTTGGCTCTACTAAACTATATATTACATATGTTAAAACTATAGTTGTCACGAGCATCCTTGGAAGCATGTACACAAGACACACAGTATTGATTGCCTCTGAGGAGTAGAAATGGGAAATTGAGGGTGACAGTATTTGTGAGTGTGTGTGTGTGTGTGTGTGTGTGTGTATACCCTTTTGTTTGCTTAAAATTTTTTAATTTAAAAAATTTTTTAGTGTTTTTATTTTATGTGTCTGAGTGTTATGCCTGCATGTGTCTAAGTACATCCATGTCATGCAATGCCTGCAGATGTCAGAAGAAGGCATCAGATTCCTTAGGAACTGCAGTTATGGATGGCTGTTAGCTACCATGTGGCTACTGGGAATTGAACCCAGGTCCTCTGCAAGAACAGCCAGTGCTCTTAACTGCTGAGTCATCTCTCCAGCCCCCGCCCCCGCCCCATTTAAACATTTATAATTGTACATGAAGGGATTTCCATGGTGAAGACACTGACGGACAATACTCACTTATACAACATCTTGAATGTTTTTAAAAGGAAAAATGATTCCTGAGGCCACGCTGACCTCCATTTTGTGTCATGGTAATGTAGTTAGTAAGGGGGGGAGGGTGTCTGGCTGGGTCTGCTCCCATTCCACGAGGCTTGACGATATGACCCTGGAGTCATACTCCTTCACTTGTGTTCAAATATAATTTTGACATCTTTTTTTTACTACCCATGCCAAGAATTTTCCCTTCTAGATTTCTGAAAGGCCAGTCTCCAGGTCAATGAGATGGCTCAGCAGGTAAAAGTACTTTCTGTACAAGCCCAACCACCTGAGTTTGATCCCTGAAAACCACACTAGAAGGAGAGAACCAACTCCCAAAAGTTGTCTTCTGACTTTCACATGCTTATCATTCATGGAACGTGCGTATACACAACACAGACACACATATACACACAGACACAGACAGACAGACAGACAGACAGAGATACACACACACACACACCACTCCACATAATAATAAGAATTGAATAGAATTTTTGAGACTAATCTCCAAGTGTCCTAGTTTGTTTCTTCATTGCTGTGACAAAATACTCTGACCACTACCAACTTGGGGAGGAAAGAGTTTATTTGTCTTACATCTCCCAGGTCACAGTTCATCAGGGAGCCCAAGGTAGGAACTCAGGGCAGGAACCTGGAAGCAGGAGCTGGAGCACAGGCCATGGAGGAATGCTGCTTACTGGCTTGTTCCCCTGGCCCCTGCTCAGCCTGCTTTCTTATGCAGCACAGGCCCACCTGCCCAGGGGTGGTGACCCATGGACATGGCCACAGGCCAGTCCAATGAAGGCAATTCCCAGTTGAGGCTCCCTCAACCCAGGTGTGTCAAGTTGACACTAAAGCTATCCAGCACACCAAGTCAAGGATTACTGTTCATACTGACCTCACTAAGCTCACACGCCTATCTATGAGAGGAAATGCCCACTTAGGTAAGTCTGCTTGCCTCTGCAGATGCAGTAACACAGTAGCTTACATAGTAAGTCAGAGCTGTTCTTGGCATGTCTCACTTTTGGTATTTCTCATAAGAAAGATACTTAACTGTAACCCCATTTTCTTGTGTGTAGAATGGGATACCTCAAACAATCATGCCCATGTTGCTTATGGCAAATAAGGCAGTGCGGTATGATTCTGACACAGCACCTGGCCCTGACTTTGTGTCAGTCATCCCCTTCTCATCTCACAAGCACTTAATTCATCAGGCTGCACTTTGTGTAAAGGACACCTGGTGCGAGGGTCAGAATCTTTGGATCTGGAGAGTATGATTTATCTTTGAAACAATCAATCATTAAGATTTGTGTGAAAACATGGTAAGTTGTGTGGTAGTGATTTAAGTTCAGAGAAGAAAGTTGGGTTAATGGAATCATGATAGAATCACACTGCTGGGTGTGGATCTTCTACTGACCTTGACAGATGGGCAAAGGAAGAGGAGCTTCCGACTGGGAAACAAAGACAAAACAGAGAGGTGGGGAGGAGGGAGCTGGACCACAGCACTGGCATCTGGCATCTCCATTTTACCACTTGACTCCTCTTGTTCCTGCAGCGAGGTTTCCCCCTAAAACTTTAGTATAACTTTTGATGACACCCTTGGGTTCTGAGAGTTTGAGTCACCTCATCTGTGAGAGGAGATGGCTGATGGCCCCATGCAATGCTAAATTCAAAGATTCCACCCCTGTTGCCCAGTCTCTATCAGGTTTACTTACCATAACCCATTGATATGGCTGATCCCAAAATCATAATGAAGGCTTGAAAGGCCTCCGCATAAGCCACCGCTGTCAGACCACCTCAAGAGAAAGAGGGAGAGAAACGAACATCTGCTTCTACTGATGGTGGCTGATCCCAAAATCATAATGAAGGCTTGAAAGGCCTCCGCATAAGCCACAGCTGTCAGACCACCTCAAGAGAAAGGGAGAGAAACGAACATCTGCTTCTACTGATGACAGCCTCTGAATCTTCTGAACAGGGCTCTGTGCGCCCTGTTCCCACTGGACTTCCCAACCAGACTGTGCATCCCTTTACACCAGTGTCTTTAAACTACTCTGCTTAGTTTTGACACGGTGTTTTCTCTCTTTAACATCCTCCATGGTCTTCTGTGGGACTCTAATTTTGACTTTCTATATCCCAGCTTCTCTTTATGTCTCATTTTCCAGATGAATGAAAATCTGGTAGTTTTTCTAACCAAACATGTATACCTTTCATCATAGTTCAGTTTGAAGCAATCATTAGCATCATCCCTGGCCTCTACCTGCTAGATAACACCCTCCCTCAGCACCTGCCCAGTTATAACAACCAACGTCTCCAACCATTACCAAATGTCCCCAGGAAACAAAATCCAACTTCTACTCCCACCACTGTGAACCACTTATTACAGCTTCCACTCCCCACTCTGATTCTCCTTGTACTCCAGTGACCACGTGCCAGATCCACACTGTGGGTAGGAATAAGTGAGAAGGGCTCTCACTTTAGGCAGAGGCTGCACAGATAGAACTGCCAACATGAAAGACTCCATCTGAAGGCTTGGCCAGGTGGCCTGGGTCCCTACCTCACTTCCCCCTCACTCATTTTGTGTGTTCCCATTCTGCTACCTGATGATCCACAGTGTCATGTCCCACTGTGTCATAAATGTAATTACTGCTGACCCTAACAGATCCCTTGAAGAGACCTTCCCAACCCAATCTAATTCCTAGAGGCACCTCTGCCTCCCTTACATTCCCTGAGATCTACAACCTTAGGGACTCCATTAAGCAGAGAGTTGTTTGTGTCGGGATAAATTCCTGTGTGGTTAGAGCAACCTCACCTGTGACTGTATAAATGCCAGTAACTGTCAGGATGAGCATCATAGTCTGGTAAATATCTGTGTCCAAAACCATTTTCAAGAACATGGTGCCAAAGCAGATCTCCATCTAAAATGGGTACAAGGTCAGCAGCTGACCTTGATTTCCAGAAAAATCAACAACAACCCCAGAAAGGAATGGGCCTTGGAAGCTACTTGCAAGAGGTGGCTTCTGGGAAGCACCCCATCACCAATGGGTGCTGAGGGAGATCTGCCCTAATTTTGTGCCCTCTGAGTTCAGTCAAGGTTAGTATCTTGGAGGCTTAAGTTAACCCAAGTTGCCTAGTTAATAAAACTTAGCCTCTTATGCACTGGAGCCTCAGAGTGGGCAGTATGCTCAGAGTTGGCTCTTCTTGTGGTTCCAGCCCTAAGGAAAGGCCATGGGCAGATTCTCTGGGATTGGCAAATATCTGTACAAAGTCACATGGTAAATATTGCAAGTTTTGTGAGCTGTTACACACACTGTCTCTGGTTTTTAAATTAGATATAAAAATCTATCTCAGTTCAAGGGCTGTACAAAGCAGTTCATTAGTTGGATTGGCCTGCAGATGAGATTTGTTGACCCCTGGTATAGTTGATACTGATTTTGAAGCAACTGTACATCATTTAACTAGCTAACCTCTTTCTTCAGGATTCTGTCTCCAAAGTCAGGGACACAATGCCATGTGTGCTAAACATATTCGTAGGTCAGGGGGCGATGTAGTGAACAAGTCAAAAAAGGCTCTTGGACTCAAGAAGCATGAACTGAGGCAGAGAAGACAAATACTAGGCAAGGACACAAATAAATCACGTCCACATGGTGGTGCACATTACGAAGAAAATAAGAAACAGCCATGGTATAAAGACTGATTAGACACATCCTTGGAAGGCCTCTCCAAGGAGGTAACCTCCTTCCTCCAAGGAGTGATGGGGGAGGGAGTGTCATTTAAGCAAAAAGGTTGGGAAAGAGCATTGTAGACACGGTATAGAGGGTGTTAAAGGGCTTGAAGCAGGTGTAAGTTGACAGGGCAGTGTGAGTAGAGGGGAGGAAGCAAGGACAGAGGGTCCAGTGCATATAATCTTACTCAAGAGTCTTCTTCTAAAGTGATGGAAACTCCTAGACTGTTTCAACATATTACCTAATAACAAGAGGTGGGGAACTCCAGAGTTCTCTGGGACTATAAAGGGAAGACCCACAACCTACAACTGTGGCTATACTTTTGTTTTTCTTTTGTTTTGTTTTTGTTTTTGTTTTTGTTTTGGTCTTTTTGAGACAGGGTCTTCCTGTAGCTACAGGTGCCTGGAACTCACTCTGTAGACCAGACTGGCCTCGAACTCACAGAGGATCTGCCTGCCTCTGCCTCCTGAGTGCTGGGACTAAAGGTGTGCACCACCACGCCCGGCGTGGCTATACTTTTTATTTTCTGCAAAGTATCATTAAGTTACTAACAGTAAAATCTGGTATTATTAAACTACTCCATCTTACACAGCAGAGGCCAACATGTAATTTACGGAACCCCAGAGCAAACTGCCGAGCTAATCCCAAGTCCTGCCTAGTGGCTTTGGATTTGCTCTTGTTTGGGGAGCTTCTCCTTCCCGGGCTGGCTCCTCTAGAACTCACTGAGATCCGTGTGAAGATGTAGACGAGTAAAGACACAAAGGAAAAGAACAACTGGATCCGGACGCTGCCAAACCTCTTCCTCAAGTATTCTGGCACTGTCACCACCTGTACAAACAATACAGCCAGTCATCATTAGATAGTGAATGAAGGCAGATCATGGGAGTGACAGAAACACTGCCAGTGACGGAAATGGCCCTGAAATACAAGATGTGGGGTCACTCGTTGTCTTTGGCACAAGTCAAGACATGAGAAATAAAGAAGGAGAGGCTGGACAGCTGTCTTCCAGCAGATTAGATTTCAGGTTCCTGTGAAATCTTAGGAATGTAGAAAGAAACCAGCTAAGTAAAAGTGTACAGTCGTGACAAATCATCACAGACCAAAAGCAAGAGCTTTGTCATAGCAACAAAGCCAGCCAGGGTGGAAGGGAGGCAACCTGACTATGTAGTTCTCACCTACCTTTATATCAACACTCCAGTCTAGGTGGTGATGTCCCAAAGGATCCTGCTGTGTGTCTACATTATCTTGGGGAGATACTCCGTGAGCACAGAGACCATGCCCTCTGTGTTCACTGTGCCCCTGGGCCCCCCAGTGCCTGGCTCAAGAGAAGCGAGTCAACAATTATTAGGAAAATGTTGTCCCACTTTCTGTCTTGGCTAACCTATGTGATCTTGTCCATCACCTACCTACACATCTATTGTAAGTTCCAACTCAAATTCTACCCGCTTGACAGAGACTTAGCTGCAGTCTTCACAGGAACCAGAGGCCCTTGTCTGAACACCCACAGGCTTCATTCAGCGCTAAGTCATATCCTGCTGTATGTGGTTCAGTTTCTCAGCAAAATGACTTAAACAACAGGTAACCTGTTCCTCACAGTTGTAGAGAATACAAGTTCAAGTTTCAGCAGGTTTGGCTCCTTTCCAATGTTTTAGGGGAAGGACTAGGCAAAGATGTACTACCAATAAGAGCATATCTAAAGTATACACTTCTATTTTATTTCTAGGTATCCTAGTGTGTATTATAAATATTTTAAGGGGCTAGAGAGATGGCTCAGTAGTTAAGAATGCTGGCTGTTCTTGCAGAAGGCCCAGGTTCAAATCCCAGCACCCACATGGAAGCTAACAACTGTCTGTAACTCCAGTCCCAGGGGATCTGACAGCCCCTTCTGACTAATGCAGGCATTGCACGACACAGGTGCACTTACCTACATGCAGGCAATACACACATACACATAAAATTAAAATAAATAATTTTTTTTTAAGTTAAAAAAAATATTTTTAAGCTTTCTGTGTTACCATGTTTTGTTTAAAAAAAAAATCTTGAGACCAACTTAGTGCCTTCTCTGGGCCCCAGGAGCACTGCTTCTGGGCCTGGCCCCACACTCACCTACCTACCTCTGCTTCCCTGGGCATATACCACCTGCCACAGGCCTCTCTCCCACATGCAGGCCTCTCTCTGGGGTAAGTCCAACTCGCCCTCCTAGCCTTGACTCCCCTAGCCCCATTCACCCTCCCATCTCCCCCACCAGTCTCTCCTAGTTTGGATCCTGTCCCATTCCTTGTCTTGGGGCCCCAGACACCTGGGGAACCAATACTGCCTCCTGACCTTTTTCATCCAGACCAACTTAGTGCCTTCTCTGGGCCCCAGGAGCACTGCTTCTGGGCCTGGCCCTGCTCTCACCTCCCCCTGCTTCCCTGGGCGTTCACCACCTGCAGCAGGCCTCTGTCCCACCCGCAGGCCTCTCTCAGGGTAAGTCCATCGTGCCTCCGTGCCTTGACTCCCCCAGCACCATTCACCCTCCAATCTCCCCCACCATTCTCTCCTCTGAGTTTGGGCCCTGCCCCATTCCTTGTCTTGGGGCCCCAGACACCTGGGGAACCAATACTGCCTCCTGACCACTTTCATCCAAACCAACTTAGTCCCTTCTCTGAGCCCCAGGAGCACTGCTTCTGGACCTGGGCCAACCCTCAACTCCCCCTGCTTCCCTGGGCCTGCACCACCTGCCATCCTCTTTCTGTGACTTGGGAGCTGACCTTCCCTCTTCCTGATCCTTTGCATCCAGACCAACCCAGCTCCTCAGTGCAGTCCCCAGGAGTCCTTGGCACCTCTTCCTGCCCCATCTGCCTCTGCATCTCTGGGTGGCAATTCAACCAGCTGCCCTAGACCAGCATCTTTTCTGG